AGATGAGTTCAATTCTGATAAGTGTGGGATAATGCATTTCAGAAGGTCAAACAGCAAAAGGAATACACAATAAACAGGAATGTACTGAGGGGTAAATGAAACGAGAGATCTTGACCTGCAAGTGTATGGTCCCTAAAAGGTAGCAGTACAAGTAGATAAGATTGCAAAGAAGGCATTTGGAATGCGCTCCTTCATTGGCAGAGGTGTAGAATACAAAAGTGGGGATGTAAATGATGAAACTATATAAGACACTGGTGAGGCCACAACTGGAGTGTTGTGTGGACTTCTGGTCACCACGTTACACGTTGCATTGCTGTGGTGGGAGTGCAGAGAAGACTTACTAGAATGTTGCCAGGGCTGGAGAATTGTGGCTCCAAAGAGAGTTTGGATTTGTTTTCCTTGGAATAGAGAAGACTGAGGGGTAACATGATTGAGGTATGCAAAATTGTGAGGGGTAGAGATAGTGTAGACAGGAGGAACCTGTTTCTCTTGGCATAGAGTTCAATAACCAGGGGTCATAGATCCAAGCTAAGTGACAAAAAGATTAGGTGGATGTGAGGGAAAAAATGATTTTACGTACGGAGGGTGGTAAGTGTCTGGACTTTGCTGCCTGAGTTGGTGGATGAGGCAGAGACCCAAACTCTTTCTTTTTCTTTTTTTTTAAGAGTACCTGGATCTGCACCTTTTTAAGTGCTGTAAGCTGCAGGAATGTAGGCCTTGTGCAGGAAGATGGGATTGGAAAGGGCAGCTCGGTGTCTTTGGATCAGCATGGACAAGATGGGTCACATGGCCCCCTGTGCTGTATCATTTTGATGGTTAATAGTGACAAAACAGGAAAGTGCAGTCTGAATTGGTATCAAATCTGAAAAGGTGTTAAATTACCAATGAAATGTGACTTCATATAATCTCTTTACTCTGTGAGACTAAATTGGTAATAATATTTTAATAATACAACCATATCACGTTTGTGCATGAATCTTAGTAAAGCATGAAACACTATAATTTAAGATCTTCTCCTTCCAAATTTGGAATGTTTTTGAGCTGTATAATATTTAAATTGAAATTCTGCCATTTATAACACTGTCACTGGTGGTAGTAGCAGTTGAAGATAATGCAAAAAGAATAACTTTGTAAAGTTAAAGCACAATGGATTGTAATTTACTTGTGTGTTGTTCCCATTTGGTTAAGTCTGGGCAACAAAGCTTTGTGTTCAGTTTCAGGAATCCATACAATGGAACCTCAAGGGGCAAGGTACAACATTTAAAATGCTCCCTTTTTTAGATTTTGCATTCTTGAAGTTCCTTAGACTAAATAATCTTGTACTAATTTATCATCCCATGATGCAGCAGCCCTTTTTTAAAAAAACATTCTTTGCCAAACCTCTGTCTTTGAAATTTAAACAGTGCAAGCATATAGCAGAAGAAAGTGAGGATTGTTTGGGCTTCTCCAGATTAGGAAAAACCAACAAAACACTTTTATACACTCTCTTTCTTTTTTTCATGGTTTTTAAGTAATTAAAATCTGGGGATGCTCACGTGGCTAGAATTGGAAGAGCAGTGGTTTCAAACTCTGGAAATTGTGAGGCCAGAGGAGACCACAGGAGCAGGGAGGGAAAATGCAACGAAAAAAACAGTTTGGTTTATTCACCATATAATATTGTTTTTTCTTTTGGTGTCCGTTTATTCAGTTATCTGGGGCAAGAAATGAGCTTGTTCAGCATAATAAGAAATGGGCAATAAAAAATTGTACTCTTAAACTCCTGAATGGAAGAACAGCAGAGAATCAAAGAGTCGACTGATGGAAAACGAAGATTCCAGCAACTGCCACCACATCTTAGTGAATCTACAGTTCAGGACATGAGTCCAGAGCTCTTCTGCTTCATACAGACTAACCTAGTGGACTAAGTGGAAATTGCACTGGCTCCTCTGCTGGTCTTGATAGCTGACCATTCTGAGCTGACACTGGGAGGTGGGAGAACAGCTGTCTCGGTATGAAAGGTGCATTATATGATTCTATAAATGTGCACAGTTGCAGGTTGGTGGGGGGGGAGCCAACGGAGATGGACGAGACAAGGAGCAGGTGAATGGATCAAACGGGATGTGAAATACTTGGCACCAAAGCAAACATTTTGTTCCTGTCTCTACAATACGACTGATCCCGACTGAAGGGGATCGGGGTAGTGTCCGCAGGAAATCCGCTTCCTGCCTAAACGGCCGTTGGTTCATTATGAACCCAGAATACAGGAGCCAGTTAGCAGGCTAAATGTTGCAGAGGCTGTCTTCACTTGATGTCACAACATCATGCACATTTCATTGTAATTAAAAACTGAACGAACTGCGGTTCTTTCGGTTTTTACAAAAACAGGAGTTGCTGGAAAAGCTCAACAGGGCTGACAGCATCTCTGATTTTTCTTCAGAGTTAATGTTTCAGGTCCGGTGACGCTTCCTCAGAACTGATGGTAGCTAGGAGAATGTCCGTTTATATGCAGAAGATAGTATGGGGAAAGGGGATAAGGAGTAAATGATAGGTAAGGATAGAGTCCAGAGAGAGAAGAACAGCTGGACAGACCAAGGAGTGGATAACAATCTGCCTAGGAAGGTGAATAGCTGTTAATGGAAACTGTTAGTGACAAACGATAAGGTTGTGTGTAATGGCGGGCTGTGATAACCAGGCCTGGTGTGTGGGACAGGGTCTAGGACTTGGGAGAGTTGAGGGCCCTAAAATAATTGAATTCGATATTGAGTCTGGAGGGCTGTAGGGTCCCCAAGCGGAAAATGAAGTGTTGTTCTAACAACTTGCAGTGAGCTTCGCTGGAACACTGCAGCAAGCCAGAGACGGATGTTGGCCAGGGGGCAGGGTGGTGTGTTGAAGTGGCTGACGACTCGAAGCTCAGGGTCTCTTGCGGGTTCGTAATGTGTAGTCTCCTCTACATTTGGGAAATTAAGCATAGATTGGATGACCGCTTCGCAGAATATCTATGTTCTGTCCACAAAAAAGACCCTAAGCTACCTGTTTCAGAGCTAGTAGAAACTGCTGATGCTGGAGAATCTGAGATTTCTGAAGAAGGGTCTAGACACGAAACGTCAGCTTTCCTGCTCCTCTGATGCTGCTTGGCCTGCTGTGTTCGTCCAGCTCTACACCTTGTTATCTGAGCTACCTGTTGCCTGCCGTTTTAACACACCACCCTGTTCCCTGGCCAACATCTCTGTCTCAGGCTTGCTGCAGTGTTCCAGCGAAGCTCTGCGCAAGCTGGAAGAACAGCATCTCATTTTTCTGCTTGGGGACCCTGCAGCTCTCCAGACTCCATATCGAGTTCAATAATTTCAGGGCCCCCTGTCCCACCTGACAGGTCTTGTTGTCTCTCAGCCTGCTATTACACACTACCTATTGTTAGTCACTAGCAGTCCCCATTAATAGCTATTCACCCTCCTAGACAGATCGTTATCAACTCCTTTGTCCAACTGTTGCTCTCTCTCTTTTGGGCTTTATCCCCACCTATCATTTACTCCTTAACCTCCTATCTTCCACATGTAAACTGACATTTTCCTAGCTCCCATTGGCACTGAGGAGGGGTCACCAGACCTGAAACATTAATTCTGATTTCTCTTCAGAAATGGTGCCAGATCTGCTGAACTTTTCCAGAAACTTGTGTTTTTGCACATTTCATGTGCCCTATTGAGATCAGATCAATAACAACTGGGAGTTTCAAATACTTTTCTTTCACCTGCTCCTAGCATTGCCCATTGCATTAGAGGGGAAATGTAAACCCCAGCCACTGGAGGAGGGGTGGGAGAGAGAGGGCTGAAAAAGTTTTTAACATTATTAATAGATTACTTCATCTTGGAGATGACTCAATTCATCACTTTCTGTGCAGAACTCAACAGTTATTTCACATGTTACTGTCTTTCTTCATTCACTTTTTAACATCCAGCATTTTGGGATTCAGAAATTTCACAGATTTCAGATATAAAGAAATCTAAACATAGCTGAAATGGTTGCTGGAAGATAAGTTTGGGAAACTTAGTTTTTCTTTGAGAAGGCAGAATAGTGGTTTAATGGTCATGGTGGTGGCTTGGGTGTAGTCTGCTTCTTCAAATTTTATTCAGACCTGCTGACTCATCATGAATTTCATTTATAATTAGCATATGAACAGCATTTGGTGTAAGGGTTGCAGTGAGGTTTACATTTATAGGAAGTTCCTGCTACTATGATTCTGCTAAATAGCAAATTCAGTAGTCACTCATCCAGGATCCTTGGTCACTGCTATTGTTTAATATTCTCCAGGGTAGATTTTGTTTTCTCTCTCCGTGAATGCTTTATGCCATTTTATCTACTGCATGCTTGTGTTATTTCTCTATGGATAGGACAGTGTCTGTCCTCAAGTGCTCTTGTAGTCGAGGGAAGTAATGTTTTCCCTCATGATATTGGAAAAATTCTGAAGACTTGCTGCTTTATACAGGAGTGGGGCAATATCAATATATAGCCTCCTCCGTTCCTTCACAGCTTGTAGAATGACTGCATATGATATGAAAATTTTTCTAATGTAAGAATAATTAAAAATATTACATGCAGGTTCCACTGTTTTTAGGTTTATTTTTCCAGTATTGATGGCAAAGAATCAACAATTTTCTTCTCGCCCTTTTTTTGTTTTACTTTTGAAGCCTTTACTATTCACTGGGGTTGTAGGTTGTTCTGCAGTACCTTCTCCAAACATAGTGTTCATGAGTATTAGAAGCTTCTTCATGCATATGGTGCATCACAGCCAACTCCAGTTTTGACCTCATTTCAGGTCACCTGTAAAACCTGTACTGCTCAGCACTGACTAGCAGTCAGGAATCTGGTCTTTAGCTTATTTAATGAAGAACATTAAGTCTATCATCGTCATTCTCCTGGACAGCACCAAATGGAAGCTGCTTCTGGATGCAAGGTGCCTAAAATTTGCTCTTCGCACACAAAATTACACCAAAAATAATTCCGTTCTTTTTTTCCTCTTCCCATAGGTTTGTGTGATTGAAAGTGTGCCGTGGTATGACGACTACTAACAAGGGAAACAAGGCCTTAAAGGTACAGCTCTCCTCCCCTTTTCCTTAGACACTTAGTACACAGGCTGATAGGTCCAATAAAGTAAAGTATTTTTTATACTGGTTCTTGTCAACATTTTATGCTGAGCTAATGATACTGTTTGTTTGAATCCACTAGGTGTAGTTTTCGAATTTCTATTTGTCTTTAATTTTGCCCTCCCTTTTTTTTAGGGACTCAAAATTTATTATGATATTTATTGCATAAAAGCGATTTGGCCAGTATTTCACTGAAATGTTCTTTTGCACTGTACTTGTGTTCTTTTCTCTTGTGCTCTTTTTCCACGTTGTTGGCTTTCTTTCTTTTTCTCCCCACCCCACCACCCCACCATCCTCATTTTATGCCATTTTTCTTCCATTTGCCCAATCTTCTACCTCCCTTCTCTGTAAAGAGCTTGGCTATGTTTTGGATTGAAGGTACCAAGTGCCCTTCAGTTCATCTCCCATGGTCAGGTAGCTAGAAATATTGTAGTTGATGTATCGTCACCCAACTTGTGCCTTGGAGGGCCTATTTATAGTTGCCAACATTTCCCATGAGCTATAGATCCTGTAGAAGAGATTAATACAACAGTATTCATGTGAGATATCACAGTGGAGATTTTAATAATAGGCTCTTTTGAGACCCGATGTCTTTGCTGAATGTAAAGACTAGCACCATAGAGTATTTATTTTTATATGTATCTGTTATGATTAACCACCAGCATGTATGTTTGAATAGTGAAGAAACAGTTTAGTTGCAATACGATATCCGTTCCAGATCTTGTTAGTAATGAGAGATGCCACATGCACAATTCAAAATATACCTTCCTATGTTGTGTCGTTGGATGCTATATGGAAATAAATTGCCTAAGTCCATGCAGTCTTAAGCCAGTAACCAAAACTGAGGAGTAATTTTTTTTGTATCAATTTGGACTGTAATGTACTAAAAATCTGTTCTGGTGAGTTACGACGTTGGCATATACCTAACAATGATATGAAAAATTACCCAGGTGCATTTTGTCCTCAAAGTAATCTGGCCAACAGCCACTCCATCATCATCATCATCATCATCATCATCATCGATCATCAACAAAGCGATGGAAAGTGTTGTTAAAACAGTGCTATCAAATGGCACCTCTGCAGCAGTAACGAGCTCAGTGTGTTCAGATCTACTCTGTTCCTGACCACATTACGGCCTTTGTTCAAAAGAGCTGAACTTGAGGAGAGACGAGAGTGACTGCTTTTGGCGTCAAGATAACCATGTTAAACCAAGTGTGACCGTGGGGAGCACTAGCAAAACTGAAATCGGTGGGAATCAAGGGGGAATTCTCTCCAATTGTTGGAGTGCTAACTAACAGAAGGGAATATGATTGTGGCTGTTGGAGGTCAAATATCTCTGCACCAGGACATCATTGCAGGAATTGTTCATGGTAGATATTTACTAATCAAACTGTTCAAATGTTATTACACACCTGGGGAGCAGTTGATATTTGAGTGCAGGCCTACTGGTACTGACGTAGGGACACTGACACTGCACCACACAAGTAAGGATTGATTAAGAAGGGGAAAATACAGTATGAAAGTAAGCCTGCAGGGAACATAAAGACGGACAGTAAGAGTTTCTGTAGGCACATGAAGGGAAAGAGATTGTGAAAAGAAATGTAGGTCCCCTACAGACAGAAATGGGGGATAAATTGGGAGAAGGGAGTGTGCAACAGGACCTGGGCATTCTTGTACTCCCAGTCACTGAAGGTAAGCATGCAGGTAGTAAAGAAGGCAAATGTATGTTGGCCTTCATTTCAAGAGGTTTTGAGTACAGGAGCAGAGATGTGTTGCAGTTGCAGGGCCTTGGTGAGACCAGATCTAGAATATTGTGTGCAGTTTTGGTGTGCCTTTGCCAGAAAGGATGCTCTTGCTCTTGGGAGTGCAGTGAAGGTTTATCAGGCTGACTCCAGGGATGGCAGGTCTGATGTATGAGGAGAGATTGACTAGGTAAGGCTTTTATCGCTCAAGTTCAGATGAATGGGGGGGGGGGAGGGGTTGGTGGGGGAAATCACTTAGAAACTTATAAAATTCCACCAGGACTAGCCAGGGTAGATGCAGGGAAGATGTTTGCAATGATGAATGTGTTCAGAACCAAGGGTCATAGTCTGAGGATTTGCGATAGACCACTTAGGATGGAGATGAGACATTTCTTCGTCCAAAGAGTGGTGAGCCTGTGGAATTCATTACAACTGGAAGTAGTTGATGCCAAAACATTGAATGTATTCAAGAGACAGCTAGATATAGCACTTGAGGTGAATGGGAGCAAACGTTATGGGCAGAAAGCGGGATTAGGCTATTGAGTTGGACAATCAACCATGATCCTGATGAATGGCAGAGCAGGTTCAAAGGGGAAATGGCCGCCTCCTGCTCATATCTTCCATGTTTCTACAAGTTGCTCGGGGTAGCCCAAACATTTTCAGCCGCTTCATTAATGACCTGCCTTCTGAACCCATGACCAGCTCTACTTAGAAACGCAAGGGCAGCAGATGCACAGGAACACTGCCATCTGTAGGTTCCTCTGCAAGCCACAATCGGAAGTCTATCGCCATTCCTTCACTGTCACAAGATCAAAAACCTGGAATTCCCTTCCCTGTAGCACTATCCGTATATTTGCAACCGAAGTAGTTAAGGAAGTTGGTTCACAACTACCTTCTTGGGCAGTTGGGAATAGGCAAAAATTGCTGGCCTTGCCGTTGATGGATACACCCACATCTCAAAGTGGAGGGAACTGTGTATTCCTAACAATCTAACTTGAGAATTTAATGTTACAATCATAGCAGGTGAGCACCTAATGTGTTTGTGATATCTTTTATCTGCTTTTTTTTTAGTGGAGACTTGTAAAATAGATTGGTTAACACCCATTTTAAAATAGCAGCCAAAAGATGATGCACTAAACAACCAGGAGTTCATTCAGTACTAAACAGTTTCTTTTAAGAAAAGGTTTTTCTAAAGTACTTTAAGTTAACTGTTTCAACCATCTGGCTGAAAAGTGGAACTTTGCAAAAATACTTACTTCAAAACTTGCTTCACCATTTCTTTGACCTCCTATATTGGCCAGTTATGGCCTGTGCTTGCTGATATGCAGAAAATAGGTTGTGTTGTCACATAGAGGAAGTTGATTTCAATAGCAGACAATGCAGAAGCAGAAAACCAGCAGAACTAGTGTAATTAGAAGCTGGTTTGGACTTTGTCTCATGCAACAATGGAGAACTGTGTAGACAAAATGTAACAACACGCAATGATTAGGAGAGGTGTAATACTGTTGGGGCCATTTACTTTCGGTGAAGAGTTTTGAACTTGTGTTTCTGTGTGCCTTAATGGTTCAAAAATGTTTCCAAAAACTACTAAACAAAAAAATGTTCCTGATTCTCTACAATGCTCCCATCTTTCAAATAGAGTACCTGAATGCCATGATTAAGGCAGCTTGATTTTCAACAAATGCAATCAGATCACATAGAAACATAGACAATAGATGTTGGAATAGGCCATTCAGCCCTTTTGAGCCTGCATAACCTTTCAATATGATCATGGCTGATCATACAAACTCAGTATCCCATTCCCTCTTTCCCTCCATACCCCGTGATCCCTTTGACTGCAAGGGCCACGTCCAGCTCCCTTTTGAATGTATCGAACAAACTGTCCCCAACAGCTTTCTGTGGTAGAGAATTCTACAGATGAAGAAATTCTTCACCTGTAGAGTGAAGAAATTCTTCCTCCCCTCATTCCTGAATGATTTACCCCTACTCATACACTGTGACCCCTAGTTCTGGACTTCTCCCAACAATGGAAAGATTCTTCCTGCATCTAGCCTGTCCAGTCCCTATGTTTCTGAGACTCCCTCCCTCCCTCCCTTCCTCCCTGCTCCCTCCTCCCTCCTCCCCAAACATTCTTCTAAATTCCAGCGAGTACAAGTTCAGTCAATCGAGTCTTTCTTCACACATCAGTCTGGTGAACTTCGTTGGAATCCCTCAATAAGAAGAATGTCCATCCTCAGACTAGAAGACCAAAACTGCACACAGTACTCAAGGTGTGGCCTCAACGAGGCCATGTATAACTGTGTAGCAAGGTGATCTTGAAATTTGGACTGTGAACTGTGACTATTTTTCATATGAAAGGAAGCAGGAAGGGCTATGAATTTACAAATGGGAGAGGATTAGATTGTTGTTCAGCGAGTGAAGGGGATAAAACTTGATAAAGGTGTAGGTTCCAATTGTTTCTTAGAATTTGAGATCAGTGTAATGGACCAGTGTTGCCTAATCTGATCCTACATGATCCTGTGTTTGCAAGTTCCTAAATCTATTATGTATATCATTTATCTTCAGTTGAAGCTGCAGTCAAAACAAAACTTCTTTTGTTAATGGTGAAGGAGGTTTGCAGGTTGATCTGCAATTGGAAACTTTTAAACACCTGACCGTCTGCAAACTAATGCATAAATTGCAATTCAATGCTGTGACCTCACCTGGTACATTTCAGATCCGAGATAATTCTCAACACCGCCAACTTCATGAAAGTTTGATTTAGCAGCAGAATAATAGATTGGTGTCGTTTTATGATCTATTCTTCTGTTGGTAGAAATCAGCATAATATTAGGTGAACCTTCAGCACTGCTACAGATACTCACTGGATAAAGTATGTTTGAATGCTGTAACTAAGCAGCCCTTGATGCTTAATTTAGGCTTCAGGACTTCTTGGTTTACAACCTTTCTGAATACACTCTGGGGACCATGTGTCTGAAACCTGGGACAGCTAAATTTTTCTTTGTCGTTCATTCACCACTGACACATTAATGTATGCGCTGCAATCTTTATTTAAATAATATCCAGCTTCTCTGTTGCTAAAGTGCATAACCTCACACTTACCCACATTATATTCCACCTGCCAAATTTTTTTTTGCCCACTTGCTTAACCTGTCTATATCCCTCTGCAGACTTCATGCCATCCTCACCGCTTTACTTCCCACCTAATTTTG